AGAATTTATTGTTATATCAGCTGTTTTGACAATAGATTATATTTCCCTTTAGAAACAATTCTACGTTAGTTTGATTTAAGTAATTGTTAGATTATATAGACTTACTTGGCCTAGTACATTCATTAATCAAATTTAACGTTTGCTGTAAATCTTTGATGTTCCAGGAATCATACTAGTCACTCTGGATGAAACCTGATTATGAATTGTACCGCCTCTTTAGGATTATTTGGCTCTAGGAGCTGGATCTTTGGTCTGTGTCTCTAGTGTATTTCCAGATGGATTTTTAAAATTGATTGTGCTAGTTGACCCATAGTATTTGCTCACAAAATACATTTGATTGTATATTCCAGTTGTGATAAGTATGAAAGGAAAGTAATGCTATACCTATATAGTAGGCATGTGTCTGAGTAGAGAGCCTATGTTGAGGAAAAAACAGTGAAGTATAAAAATGCAGTGTGTCATAGCTATTTGGTAGGGATAATGGCTGGCAAGGTGGTCTATGGTCAGATAAGGAGGACAAATTTCATCTGTAGTCACTGTGTAGTCATAAATGATCAGCAAGCAAAGATGTGGTTGTTTATTTTAATGTTTTATTTGTTCGATTATTAAATGTCTGTTATATTTCTTTTATATAAAGAGAGCAACTTTTGTAATGGTGCTAGGAACTGTTTTCGATAGCGACAATATCTGTCAAAGCATAGATATTCCTACCTTTATATCCCAACCTTGGATAAAGCTTGTACTTAGCAATTCAGCTGTTTGGAATTTATCATCCAGATATATTGGCATAGGTGAAAATCAGTATAAGAATGTTCATAAGGGAATTACTCGTGGTAGTACAAATTGGTCCCAACCATAATGTTCACTAGTAAGAGAGCGATTAACTAAATTTTGGTTTATCTGTACTGCAAAATACCACATAATTAATAGCAAGACTTAGGTATAGCTAAATGTACTGGTGAGGAAGGGTTTCCAAGTTATGTTGCTTGTTAACTGAAAAAAGCAAATATCTAAGTTATATGTTAAATTTAAAAATCCATATGCTCAAGTGCAAACATACACACACACAGAGACACATAATTAAAATGAATTCGAGACATCTGAAAAGACATATACCAAGGTGTGCTCTGTGGTTACCAGTGGGAGGGTAGTGAGCTTGAGGGTGTTTGGAGGTAGTTTTACTATACCACTCCTACTTTAATGTAATTATTTATTTATTGTACATTAGATGAAGGTTTACAGAACATGTAGTTTCTCATTAAACAGTTCACAATTATTTTATGACATTGGTTATCAACCCCTCGGCATGTCAGCACTCTCCCTTCTCAACCTTGTGTTCTCTATTACCAGCTTTTCTGTCCCCTCCTGCCTTCTGGTCCTTGTCCCTGGGCTGTTGTGCCCCATTAGTCTCGTTTTGTTTAATGAGGCTGTCTAGTCTTTGGCTGAAGGGGTGACCATGGGAGCGACTTCATTACTGAGCTAAAAGGGTGTCCGGGGCTATACTCTCGAGGTTTCTCCAGTTTCCGTCAGGCCAGTAAGTCTGGTCTTCTTTTGTGAGTTAGAATTTTGTTCTACATTTTTCTCCAGCTCTGTCTGGGACCATCTGTTTTGATCTCGGTCAGAGCAGTCAGTGGTGGTAGCCGGGCACCATCTAGTTGTACTGGACTCAGTCTGGTGGAGGCCGTGGTAGCTGTGGTCCATTAGTCCTTTGGACTAATCTTTCCCTTGTATCTTGTTTTCTTTATTCTCCCTTCTTCCCGAAGGGGTGAGACCAGTGAAGTATCTTAGATGTCTGCTCACAGACTCTTAAGACCCCAGACACTACTCACCAAGGTAGAATGCAGAACATTTCTTTATAAACTATGTTATGCCAGCTCAGCTAGATGTTCCTCTAGACCATGGTCCCCACAGCCCCCTGCCCAGCAATTCAGTCCCTCAGGGAGTTTGGATGTGTCTGTGGAGTTTCCATAACCTTTCCTTGTACAAGTTGTGGTGGCTTCCCCAATATTGTGTACTGTCTTGCCTTTCACCAAAGTTACCACTTATCTATTGTGTATTTAGTATTCCCTCCCACCCCTCCCATCCCTCATAACAATCAAAGATTGTTTCTTTTTGTGTGTAAACCTTTTCATGAGTTTTTACAGTAGTAAGTCTCATACAATACTTGTCCTTTTGTGATTGACTTATTTCACTCAGCAGAATATTCTCCAGTTTCATCCATGAGATGCTTCGCAGATTCATCATTGTTGTTTATTGTTGCATAATACTCCATTGTGTGTATGTACCATGGTTTGTTTATCCATTCATCTGTTGATGGGCATCTAAGTTTTTTCCCTCTTTTTGCTATTGTGAACAATGCTGCAATGAACATGGGTGTGCATATGTCTATTCATGTAAAAACTCTTATTTCTCTAGGATATATTCCTAGGAGTGGGATTGCTGGATCATATGGTATTTCTATTTCTAGTTTTCTAAGGAGCCACCATACCATTTTCCAAAATGGTTGTATCAATTTGCATTCCCACCAGCAGTGCATAAGAGATCCGATCTCCCCACAGCCTCTGCAACATTTGTTATTTCTGGTTTTTTTTTGGAGTCAGTACTATCCAGGTAAGTTGGTATCTTGTTGTTTTGATTTGCATTTCTCTAATGGCTAGTGATCACGAACATTTCCTTATGTGTCTGTAATTTTTGTGTCACTTTTGCAAACTCACAGCTTTATTTAACTATTTTTAACAACTTTAGTTAGAATTCATATACCATACAATTCATTCACTTAAAAAGCATAATTCAATGGCTTTTAGCATATTTGCAGAGTTGTGCAATAATCACCACAATCAAGTTTAGAACATTTGCATCACTCCAAAAAGAAACTCCGTACCGCTTAGATGTCAGCCTCCAAAACCTCCGTCCATCCAGCCCTAGGCAACCACTAATCTACTTTATGCCGCTACAGATTTGCATATTCTGGATATTTCATACAGATGGATTCATTCAGTATGTGGTTCTTTGTTACGGCTTCTTTCACGTAGTATAGTGTTTTCAAGGTTCATCTATGTTGTATCATGTATCAGTAATTCATTTATTTTTTATGGCTGGTATTCCACTCTATGGATATTTCACATTTTATTTATACATTGTTGAGTTGATGGACATTTGCGTTCTTTCTGCTTTTGACTATTATAAATAATGCTGCTATGAATATTTGTGCACAAGTTTTTCTGAGCAGATGTATCTTTTCAGTTATCTTGGGTAGTACTTAGTGGTGTAATTGCTGGGTCACGTAGACTCTATGTTTAACTTTTTGAAGAACTGCCAGATGGTTTTCCCAACAATGTATGATGGATCCCATTTCTATAAATCCTTACCAAAGCTTGTTATTATCTGTCTTTTTTATTAGAGCCATCCTAGTGGATGTGAAGTGGTATGTCTTTGTGGTTTTGGTTTACATTTCCCTAATGACATTGAAATCCTTTAGGGAAGTTCTGCTGTCTCCTACAGGGTCTCTATGAGTTGGAATTGACTTGAGGGTAATAGGTTTGATTTGGTTTTGGTTTAGTGACATTGAGCATCTTTTCATGTGCTTATTGACCATTTGTGTATCTACTTTGGAAAAGTGTCTGTTCAGATCCTTTACACATTTCAAGTTAGTTTATTTGTGATTTTATTATTAAGTTATAAGTGTTGTTTATGTATTCTAGATACAAGTCTTTTATCAGATACATAACTTGCAAAATATTTCTCCCATTCTGTGGGTAGTCTTTTCACTTTCTAATGGTGTCCTTCAAAGCACAAAAGTTTTTAATTTTGGCAATGTCCAATTTTTCTATTTTTTTCTTTTGTTGTTGAAAATGTATGTATTATGTATATATTTGAAATATAGATGGTTAAACATTAAAAATAAAATAGTATTTTTTATTCAAGGCAGTAAGTACAGGTAAACAAAATGAAAATAGAGATGGCTGAGGAGGAATATGGAGTTCTTTTGTAGATTATGAAAAAGCGTTTCACCATTTAAAAATTTTAGAGGTTGGTAACAGTGTTTTTTATTTTATTAAGTTGAATCAGAATCAACACCCCCCTCTTACCCTGAGGCGTGGGTAATGTTAGTGTAACCATTATATTTATATCAGTTGATATGAGAATCTTTTAGTTTTACAAGATTTTCCTGATTGAAAAAACATAGTTTTCCAAAGAGTTTTTAATCTCTGGAGGTAATAGAAAGATAATGCAAGAGAGTGGAAGATAATGGATGGACTGGGGATGGGAGAATATTGCTGAGTTTGGGTGGACTAAGAAAAAAGCCAAGCTGGTGGTTTAAATGGAAATTCTGTCATGATGGTGCATTAGCTGTTTTGGAAGCTCATTCATGGTTGAAATTAACAGAGAGCTTGAGCTGGACATAGGATTGTCAAAGAGATTATCCACAGTATACAATTTCCCCTTGGTTCCCCAGCTGCTTTAAGACAGGTTATTTTCTCTGAGAAACGTGTCAGGTCTACAAGGTACTTTAGTTCTCATTCATCTCATGTCTTCATAACTGTCTTTTCAGAAAAGAGACATCATGAACAGTTGTATGTTCAAAGCATTACAAAAAAAAACCCCACACAACCATGAGATACGAGCCATGTGGCAACAGCAGCTTAAGAGACAGTGATTTTAGTTAATAATAAACTGAGATTAAATGGTATGATTTACGATGAGTTCAGTCTATTGTTATATTATCAGAAGTGTGAAATGCAGAATAAAGAAGATGATTCCTTTGCTGTACTCTTCTCTTGACAGATTACACCAACAATGGAATGTAACATCTTGTAAAGTATGAGTTTTGCAGCTCTGGAAATGTTCGAACTAAAGGAGCACGATTGCTGCTAAGGACCTTATAAAGGGGATTCTGGAAATGGTTGATGGTGACTGGGGGTAAATCTTGATCCTTCTAACTCTGAAATGTATAATTTTGTAGGCCATGCATGCCATTGTGTAGCATATCATGTAAAAAGGGAGAATGAACTATGAGACAGTCAAACCAGACACAGGTGACTGAATTCTTCCTCCTGGGACTCTCTGATGACCCATACACCCAGAAACTGCTGTTTGTCTTATTCCTGGGTGTCTACCTGCTCACTGTGCTTGGAAATCTGCTTCTGATGTCCCTTGTTCAGGTTGACCCCCAACTTCACACACCCATGTATTTTTTTCTCTGCAACTTGTCTCTGGCTGACCTCTGTTTCTCTACCAACATCGTTCCTCAGGCCCTCATTCACTTGCTATCCAGGAAGAAGGCCATTTCATTCATACGTTGTGCAGCTCAGCTTCTACTCTTCCTCATTTTTGGGGGTACACAGTGTGCCCTTCTAGCAGTGATGTCCTGTGATCGCTATGTGGCCATCTGCAATCCTTTGCATTATTCTAACATCATGACCTGGCGGGCGTGTATCCAGCTGGCCACAGGCTCATGGACCAGTGCCATTCTGGTATCTGTTGTGGATACCACCTTCACGCTAAGGCTACCCTACCAAGGCAGCAATAGCATTGCTCATTTCTTTTGTGAGGCCCCTGCATTATTGGTCCTGGCATCCACCGACACCCATACTTCAGAAATGGCCATTTTTCTTGTAGGAGTTGTGATCCTCCTCATACCTGTTTTCCTGATTTTGGTATCCTATGGCCTTATTATAGTGACTGTGGTCAGGATGAAGTCAGCTGCTGGGAGGCTCAAGGCATTCTCTACCTGTGGCTCCCACCTCATGGTGGTCATCCTTTTTTATGGATCAGCAATTATCACCTACATGACACCAAAGTCTTCCAAAGAGCAAGGAAAGATAGTGTCTGTGTTCTATGCAGTGGTGACCCCCATGCTCAATCCCCTCATCTACAGCCTGAGGAACAAGGATGTGAAGGGAGCTCTGAGAAAAGTAACCACAAGGACTTTCCCATCCAGCCTTGGGTTCTACCACTGATAGGGAGCTCAGAGACCCTGCCGCTCCCTACTTGTAAGACTTGATGAATAATAAACTTTCTTGTTTAGATGGAATCTGGAAAGATTCTCACTTAGGCCCTTGTCCCTGGGTCCACCGTCCATGCTTCATTCAGGATTTCCTTTGTAGAAGAAGGACAATAACTCATGGAGCAATAAGAAGGTGTGTTTGCTTCCATGTGGTTGATGCTTTGACATCTAAGGATTAAGAAATCTCTGGTGAAGCATTCATAGTTTATAAACCCTGGAACCTGTAACATCTATCTTTTTAATTTTGCTATATGTTACTATGTATCTATCCCAGATCCTGTTCCAACCCTTTTATTGTTTTGTATTTATGAATCTCTTTGCATCATCAAATGATCAAAAAATTAAAAACGTCGTTAGGTGCTGTCGACTCATCGTGACCCAAAGTGACAGAATAGAACTGTCTCATAAGCTTTACTAGGCTGTAATCTTTATGGAAGCTCTTAGCCAGGTCTTTCTCCTGCAGAGCTTCTGGGTGGGTTGGATCTACCAAACTTTTGGTTAGCAGCCAAGCACTTAAGCATTGTGTCACCAATGCTCCATTAACCAACATTAATCACTTACTGTGATGTTGTGTGAGTATGTGTGTGTTTTTTTGTGTGTGTGTGTGCATGATGTTGGTAGTGGAGAGCATGGATACAATGAAGCAGAATATACGACCTGTGCTGTCCTTCTCACACTCTTCTTAGAAACGTAAAGATTGAGTCTATCAGGATACACCTTTACAAAAATGAAGAGAGGATTTTGGGAACCAACATGAAATAGTAACATATCCCAGTGCTAGCCAAGAGTGAGGAACTGTTACCAATCCTTCACCTGAAGGATGAAGAGGGGGGAAATGGAACCTGGACTGAGTAGCTCTATGAAGAAGGCTACCAGATATAGGTATATGGAGGTGAGGAAGTCCTGCAAATAAATATTTAAAGCTTATTCTTTATTATTGTATTTCAGTTAGAAGCCAGAGCACAAGAGAACCTGTTGATACAATGCATAAAAGTCAGCTTTCTGAGGCACATACGAAGGTGGAAAGGATAGAGGCTAGGTCTGAAATGGCAAACACAAGCTGCAGTATACCTCTTTTACCCTCAGGATCCACTTGGTCTTTTTCTGGTGATTAATTCAAGTCCCCAATACAGGGAACCCATAAAACTTCATTAGCAACTTAGTCATAGCAATGTAATATTAGGTCGCACTTCTACTGGATATCTAAAATAGCTCCCACCAGGACTGTTTACCTATGGAAGCTGAGGGAGAAACAGGTAAAAAGCAAACAATTAACAGGAAACAGCTGCTATAGTTCCTGATTCTGGTCAGTAGACCTAAGTTGATAATCATAATCTTTATTTTCCCCACCCTTTCATGGTTTTCTTATTTTCTGCCAGCGACTCTTTTGGATGGGGTCTTTACCTGGTATGTTGTTTCTGTGGGCCTGGTGACCTAAAATTTCTTTCCTATCAGATGTGAATTCTTTTTTTTTTTTTTTAATATAGTCTTTTTTTTTTATTGTACTTCAGATGAAGGTTTATAGAACAAATAGTTTCTCATTAAACCGTTGGTACATATATTGTTTTATGTGAACACTGTCCCTTCTCAACTTTGGGTTCCCTATTACCAGCTTGCCTGTCCCCTCCTGCCTTCCAGTCCTTGTCCCTAGACTTTTGTGCCCCATTAGTCTCGTTTTGTTTTATGGGGTGTCTAATCTTTGGCTGAACGGTGAACCTTGGGAGTGACTTCTTTACTGAGCTAAAAGGGTGTCCGTGGGCCATATCTCAGAGTTTCTCCAGTCTCTGTCAGGCCAGTAAGTCTGGTCTTTTTTTTGTGAGTTAGAATTTTGTTTGACATTTTTCTCCAGCTCTGTCCAGGACCCTCTCTGTGTGATCCCGGTCAGAGCAGTCAATGGTGGTAGCCGGGCACCATCTAGCTGTACTGGACTCAGTCCGGTGGAGGCTGTGGTAGTTGTGGTCCATAGATTGGAGTTCTTGGTGATACTTTTTCAGTTTCCCTTTGAGCAGGGCTATTGTTAAAGGAGGTGTCACTGGGTGGTTAAAACAGTTAATGCACTTGGCTGTGAACCGAAAGGTTGGAGGTTCTAGTACTCCCACAGGCACCTTGGAAGAAAAGCCTGACTTAACTACTTCTAAAAAATCCGCAGTTGAAAACCCTACAAAGCTCAGTTCTACTATGACCGACTTGGGGTTGCATGAGTTAGAATCAACTTTTCAGCAACTGTTTTTTTTTTTTTTTTCCTTTTATTGTTAAAGGAAGTGTCATAAAATATCCCAGTGGATTCCTCTTGTTTCTCAGCCTGGTCCCCCTTAGCCCCAATTGTATCAGCTACCTAATTTGCCATTGGAATCAGGATTAATCACTTCAGGCAATAGAGGGACTCCCATTGTCTGCCTTCTGGTTCAGTAGTACGAAGACTCCAATACCTGTGAGTAGTTTCTGCTTCCAATTCATTAATATCATGAGTGGTTCAAGACCACCATGAGGCATTCCTTCTTTGGGCACTTTGGACATGGGTAGAAAAACTCTTCAGTGTGTTAGTGGTGTAATCACAAATAGAGCCACTCCACCTGTATCTCCGGTTTTGCCACCATTGCATTCTGGTTATTGTAGGGACGCCATCATATACTGACCACTATTTTAAAGCATATAGTGCATTTTATGAGATAGCACTCTTAACTGCTCAGAGGTTGTTCTCTAGCTGGTGTTGTAGTTTAGCCTTCAGCAGGCCATTCTACAATTCTATCAAGTCAACTGCTTATGGATAATGGGGTCACCAGAGTTGGAATCAGTTGTTGAAATAAATTCAGTGGGTTGAGCCCATTACCATAACTTTCTTCACAATAAAACGTGTCATCTTGCTGGGATTGATGTCGTGTGGGATACATTTATCTATTGAAAAGAATTCTAAATATCAGTGAATAGTGAAGCTAAAAGAAACTCTGCAAGTCTGTTTATATGAGAACAAAACACTACTAACTCCTAAATGTTGGAAGCGGTCCTGTGTAATCAACATATTGCCAGAGGTCAACTGCTTTTGTTGGTAAAGAGTGCTGTTTTACGCTCAGTTTTGTTAAATGTAAACCATATTATAATCACTACCACACATGATATAAAAGATTTTAATCATTCTTAAAAGGTGCCTGATGCCCTATTTCAGTCAATGCCTTCTATCTGCTCCTAGCCGCTGACAACCATTGATTGGCTTTTTGTCACTATATGTTGTTGTTAGGTGCCGTCTAGTGGATTCTGACTGATAGCGACCTTATGCACTACAGAACAAAACACTGCTCTGTCCTGTGCCATGCTCGCAACAGTTGTTATGCTTGAGCCCATTGTTGCAGCCACTGTGTCAATCCATCTTTCTGGTATTCTTTTCTTTCAGTCGAGATCCATCTGACATCAGCAGTGATATCCCTTGTTCCACGTCCTCTCTGAATCTGACTGGAATTTCTGGGAGCTCCCTATCAATGTATTGCTGCAACCATTTTTGTATTATCTTCAGCGGAATTTTACCTGTGTGTGCAATTAATATTGTTTGATAATTTCTGCTTTCTGTTGTATCACCTTTGCTTATAATGGGCACAAATATGGATCTCCTCAAGTCAGTTGGCCAGTTAGCTGTCTTCCAGATTTCTTGACCAAGATGAGTGAGTGCTTCCAGCATTGCATCTGTTTGTTGAAACATCTTAATTGGTATTCCGTCAATTCCTGGAGCATTGTTTTTCGACAGTGCCTTCATTGTAGGTTGGACTTCTTCCTTCAGTACCATCAGTTCTTGATCACATGCTACCTCTTGAAATGGTTGAATGTCAACCAATTCTTCTTGGTACAGTGACTCTGTATATTCCTTCCATCTTCTTTTGATACTTCCTGCATTATTCCCAGTGAAAGACGTCAGTCACAAAAGGACAAACTATATAATCTCATTTATATGAAATAAGCATGTTTATAGAAACCAAAAGTTATCTGTGGTTACCAAGAATAGGATGTAGAGAAAAAGGCAGAATTTTTGATTAGGGAGCATAGGCTTTATGTTAACGGTGATGGAATAATTTGGAAAAGGTTAGTGACAATGGTTCTACAACATGAAAAATGTAATCAATGTCACTGAATTATACATGTAAAAATTGTTGCATTGGTAAATGTTTTTGTTTTGTATATTTTCATATTAAAAAAATAAAGAAAAAAGGGAGGGGCGGTAAACAACTCTACTTCCTAAACTATAAAATTTAATTTTTAAAACTCAAAACAAAAAAGCATAGAGATTGGAAAGGAGGAAATAAAACTGTCCCTATTTGCAGGAAACATGATCATTTATGTAGAAATCCCAAGAAACCTATTAAAAATAAAAAGTGAAACAAAATCAAAAATGAAGAAAATCTCCTAGAACTAGTAGGTGAGTTCAGCAAGGTCACAGGTACTAAGTCAACCTATAAAAATCAACTGTATTTTTATTAGAAATGAGTATATGGACACCAAATTAAAAATATATTACCATTTACAATCACTTAAAAAAGGAAATTTTGTTGTTGTTAGTTATTGTCCAGTCAGTTCTGACTCATAGCAACCCTATGTTCAACTGAATGAAACGCTGCCCAATCCTGTGCCATCCTCACAATCATTCATATGTTCCAGCGTATTGCTGCAGCCCCTGTGTAAATCCATCTCATGGAGGGTCTTCCTCTTTTTTGCTGACCCTCTGTGTAACCAAGCATGATTTCCTTCTTCAGGGACTGATCCTTCCTGATAATTCAAAGGCATCAATTCTTCTGTCTTCCTTATTCATTGTCCTGCTTTTGCCTACATAATGAGGCAACTGAAAATATCATGGCTTGGGTCAGGTGCACTTAAGTCCTCAAAGTGACATCTGTACTTTTTAACACTTTAAAGAGGTTTTTTGCAGCAGATTTGTCCAATGCAATACATCATTTGATTTCCTGACTGCTGCTTCCATGGGCATTGATTGTGGATCCAAGTAAAATGAAATCCTTAATGTCATTCGTT